AAATTATCATTATAAAAAACATTAATAGAACCAATTTCACTGTTAAATGAAAATCTAAAACCTTGTTTATATACAAACCATGAAAAGAAATAATGTTTCTCGTCATATCTGACGAGTAACAACAATTGTTCAAATCTAGCCATAACCCATTACTAAGCAAAAAAGAATAAACTCCAATCTTGGTGACAGGCGACGCTTTCTTATTCCCCATGATAAACTTCATCTTCCCGTGCTCCACATCCCTACTTCTTTTTTAGACCCTGCAAATCAGAACAAATGTGAAAACCACATCCTGTATCAAGGACCCAAGAACTATCATGCGATGAGTTATTAGATAGAATAGTGTAAACACCTGCGAAGGTGGGCTTTATCTTCCCATCCTTAATGTCCTGCAAGTATTTAGGGCAGCTTCGTTTCCAATTCCCTTTTTCATGACAATGGAAGCACTCTGCTTCCTTTGGATTGGATAAGGGAGTAGCAGAACTACCTTTGGACCCACTAGAAGAGGATCCATCACGAGACTTTCCCTTGTGATTCTTTGAAGGAGCTTTCCTTTTCTTCCCTTTACCATGTCCAATTGCCAGGACTGGGGCAGCAACAGTAGGAGTGGGTACAACAGACTTGCCTTTTAAACTACTTTCAACAGTTCTCAGAAGGCCTTGAAGCTTGCTTAGAGTGACTTCCTCCTTGTTCATATGATAAGTCATACGGAAATGATCATAACAAGAAGGTAAAGAGTGTAGGATAATGTTGATAGCCAACTCTTCATCAAAACTGAAATTCAACTTTAGCAAGCGGTCCACATATCTTTGCATCTTCTGCAAGTGGGTCGTGATGGACTCTCCATCCTTCATTTTTGTTGTTATCATGGAGGCAATGATTTCATACCTTTCTTGTCAAGCACTCTGATGGTACCTTTCCATCAAGTCTTGGTGCATCTCGAAAGGCCAGAAGTCCTCGTAGGACTTCTGAAGCTCAGAAGTCATAGTGGCTAGCATGATGCACGACACCTTTATCGCGTCCTTCTCATGAGCCTTATACTCAGCCAATTGCTCAGGAGTAGCAGTTTCTTCATCAATCTCCTTTAGCTCTTTGTCGAGGACATATTCTTTTTCCTCGTATCGAATGGTCGTGCGAATGTTTCGAATCCAGTCATTGAAATTTGACCCATCGAAAATGACCCTCCCACATAAGTTCATGAGGGAGAATGAGCCGGAAGAGTTTGAGTTTGAAGTGTTGTTTGAGGTAGACATCTGAAAAAGAAGGACAAGTTTCATTAGATAGAATATCCTTAATATAACACCCAAATGAAATATTAAGGCTAGGACCCAAACACAATAATTCACAACTTAGAAAAGGGATGTCGTAATCTAATTGTAAATATTTGAAGGGAGGTAAATGACGATTTACCAATTTCACCACCCAAAACCAAAATTTAAAAGAATTAAGTTTTATGAAAATCCTAGATCTTTGAGATTCATTAAACCTTTCAATGGCATGTTTAATCTCGATTATGCCCTTCAAGTTTGTGACTGGGATACCGAGGATCACAAACAAGGTGTGAATAACCATGCAAAGGTGTTTGGTACTCTCGATGTCATTTATCACCTAATCAATGTGCCGGTTAACCACACACGCTCCATTGATCTATGAAAAACATCGAGCTACCCTTTGCCACCCTTGTTAGTCCAAATTAGTGTGCCGGTAAACCACACACGCTCCACTAACGACTTGGCAAGGTGCAAAGTGCAATTTCATGGAATAGCACCATTTTCACATTTTTCCTAAAGAAACTAATATTGAGAATTTAGAAAAGCATTTAGTTACTTTTATAATTATCATTATACTTTTTAATGAGAATTAATTTCCTATCCTACCCGTTCGGCTAACGACCCTCCACTAGTCAAGGAAGCGGTGGGTGAGAGTGGACACCCATTCAATCGCCATTTTATAGGCAATTTCCTTATACCCCCTTATAGATCAGCTTCGTGAATGAGGCCTACTAACGGTAAGATTGATTGTCTTATACATATATATATATAAGTATTAAGCTATTAATATTATAATAGTATAAGGGTTGAATATTATACTTTTAAAACTCTAGGGTTTAGAATTTAAATATTTCAAAATTAAAACATTTTAATCAATTTATAAATTCCAAAACTTGAGGGCAAATTTTGAAACTTTTCAAAACTCTTTGGATCAATTTGAAAACAATTAAATTAATCATATAATTAACTATATCACAAAATGGACCTAATCTAATTTCATGTAGCAAGATGATTCAAATCAAATTCTACAAATAATTAATTTTTTACAAAACCAAGTAATTATCTTAAAATTTGACAATCATCATTCAATTGGATGAGGATAATCATTACATTATCAGAAAAATCAAATTTTATAAGTCAAAACAGTTTGTGGTTATGATCCTAATCCAAATCTGGCAAAAAAAACTCGAAAATTATGCCAACAGATGATCCAACTCATCGAGTTCATGGCATGGACTCATCGAGTTGGACCAACTCGTCGAGTTCCCTCATGGGACCCATCGAGTCCAGCATTCAGAGGCCAAAAATGAAATTTTTCCAGTTTTGAAAACAATACAATTGCATCAATATAACAGAAACCACCATAGGCTCTGATACAACTGATGGGTTTTAAGCACTATAACAAACATATGGTGCACATACAACCCTAAATGCTTTGGATCTAAGTTTTCTCAAGTTATACATGTAATTTCATTTTATCCAAATCATGAACCCTAACTAACATACAATTGGAGATTTACAACATAAAACTAGTTAGATGAATACCTCTTTGTTGTAGCTTGTGGTTCTTGGCCTTTCAAGAGCTTAGTACCTCAAATGTGATACCTCAAATGAGTCACAAACACCAAAAGAAAAATGAGGCTTATGAGAGAGAGGTTAGGAAGCACCAAAATCAGCTAGAATTTCACCTTGGAAGTGATTGGCCGATTTTGGGAAGGCTAGGAGTTCAATTTATAGTGTGGAATCCTTAGGATTTCTTACATAAGGCTAGGAGTTCAATTTATAGTGTGGAATCCTTAGGATTTCCCCTTGGAAGTGATTGGCCTAATTTACTTAAGCCTTTAAGTATTTCAATAATCCATATGATATGCCCTTTGGACTAAATCTTCATGGACTCTCACATAGATTTAGTCCATCCTTAATCAACATGGATCATTAGCCCAAACTATAAGTATTACTGATTTACCTAACCAGTCCCTATAAATTCAATTAGTCTCTTTTGATCACTAAATTAATTCCAAATTAATTCTTGATCAATACCAATTAAATAATATGATTTCTCAATTAATATATTATTCATATAATATATTAATAAATCACAGATAACCTCTCTCTCAAAAAAATCCATCCTATCAAATTGCTCCGGTAAAGACAACCCAAAAGGACCATGCTACTATCGGGTCAAGTACATACCAATTATAGTTATGGTCTTAGACACCTAATCCAACAGTTTCATACCCTACAACAAGAATCATCCCATCACGTGGAAGTAACCAGCACACCGACGCAACACCAATCCTACGAATGGACCTCGCTACATTCCAAGCCGCTGTAACGGCCGCCGTGACCGCCGTCATGGCACAACTTAGCGCTAAAACACAAACGGAAATGGGAACGGTGCCGACAATCCCAATCGTGGTGACAACCAAGGACACCAACAAGTGTGTTCCTGCAAGGACACTGTGACAACCGTCACTTTCTGGTCAAGTCAAAGTCAAAGAAAGTCAACAAGTCAAACCGGCCAACTCAATTAACCCTTGTATATTAGGGTTTACATTATGTTTACTATTGTACAACACAACATCCTAATGCAAAGTATCACTTAGAGTTTTCACGTGTTCAGAAAATCTAAACCCTAATCAGGGTAAGTGATGGAACTACTCGATAAAACATTAATACATACCTTACGGGAGCGTATAACACTCATAACAAGGCAAAACGGGGTTTACAAACCTTGCGATTCAAAGTTAAACACTCGCAAAGGTCACAGACAAAGTCTCTCTTAATCTCTCTCGCTATATCTCTCTCTCTCTCTCCCAAATCTCTCTCAAAATCTCTTTCAACTTTTTATAATCACTCGGGGCATCCCGACCCTTAATTTATTCGAAAACAACTCGAAACGGGAAGATAAATGGAGAAACAGCCTTAAGGAACCGAACCCTCTTAAAGGACCGAAACCTCTTAAAAGAACCGAAACCTCTTTAGGACCGAAATGAACTGAGCCTTCGGTCCATTTCGCTTTAGGGTACCTTCGCTCCATTTCGCTTTCGGTCCAGATCGGACTTTCGGGCCGAAGCCACTTTCGCTTCACATGTCTTTCCTTCGCATGCTCCTAGGAACCGAACTCACTTTCGGTTCGGACAAGCCCTTTCGGTCTATTTCGGTCCAATTCACCTTCGGTCCCTCCTGACCAAGTTCGCGTGCAAGCCTTTAGGACCGAACCTACCTTCGGTTCTCACTCTAATAGGACCGAACCTTCGGTCTGGTCTCGCAAGTTCGCTCCTTTTTCCCGGTTTTCGACTAGATTCGTCTTTTAAGCCCGTTTTTCATGATTTTGACGGGGATTTTTCACCCAAACCCATATTTTAATATATTAAACTCCATAGACCCATAATTTAATCATATATTTGAGGGAAAATCATATCTTTGGACAAAATCTTGTACAAGGTATGGCTTTGGAGTGTTGACTTTGCCAAGAATCTTTGACACCAACCACCCACCCACTCCATGTCACTATTCCCACCTTATTCTAGTCAATTCGAGATCTTCCCATACCTCCATCAAATCTCTTCCATCAGCTCACTCTCTAATCCCTCACTCTTCCACCTATAAAACCCCACTCTCCTCCTCCCAAGACACACTTTTTACACCCTCTCATATTTCTCTCTAAAAACTCGAGTTCCTCCAGGAGACCCAAGTCCTTCCCCTGTTGCTGGTAAGTTTTCCTTTCTACACATAATCATTCTACACAACATTACCAAAATCATAGAATTCTTACACAAATAGCGACATATTTGTTCTTAGATCTTCAAATCTTCAAGCACCTCCCAAGTGTTCTTGACTTGGAAACCTCTCTCCTTCCACATTCATCTCAGGAAATCACTCAAGGTGAGTTCATACACTACTAGAAAAACAGCCTTTTACGACGCGCAAATAATGACACACACTGATAGAGGACGCGCATTTATGCGTGCCCTAAAAATTGATGTCAGTTTTCCAAAATTTGAAGGATAGAGGACACGCATTTGTGTGTGCCCTAAAATTAGTGTCAAACAAAACAAAATTAAAAACACAGAGGGCGCTTATTTTAAGTGTGTGTCATCTACAAATGTTGCTTTATATATATTTTTTAAACAAAACACGCGTTTTAAAAGAGGGATCCTCTAAAATTATAAAATTCTAAAATTTTGAATACCCCGCTTCTGCACTCTCTCCTCTGGATCGCCTTATCTCTCGTAAAATCCCACAGAGCCATTCTCTCCCTCCTCTCTCTCTCTCTAACCCTAGACACATCCACTGGCCATTCACGACGATGTCTTCTTACCCTTTCCTTCTTCCTTGCTCCATATTTTTGACCTTCGTCAGAGCTATCTTCTTCTCCCCCGCCGCCACCAACAAACCACAGCCTTATTCATTACCCTAAAAACCAGACTAATCTTGCACCTCTCATAATCTCTCTCATAACACTTATGTTTTGGCAATGAAAAAAATCGACCCCTACTCCTTTGATGTGTTCTAATTTCTTACTGTATCTAGGTTAAAATCAGCCATTGCAGCAGAGCATCTTCTTTGGAACTTTGAAGCCGCTTTGTCGAATAGAGTTTGAGATTCTTCACTTGTTACGGTTTCTTCCAGAGCTTCGGAACACAATTCCATTCCGATCTCGTGTAAGTCGATATAAGCATCCGGGTCGATTCTGACGTGGGTTCGGAATAACTGAGCGAATTCAAACAACCAATCGTCCATTTCAACTTCTTTCAACTCCGGATCATCGGGTATTTTTTCGGCTTCCTTTTCCGGTTTTTGTTAACTTTCAGAATTGGAATGGGACCCGTTGTTTTCTACTTCAATACTCTCGATCTCAATCGGCTTTTCTTCTTCGACTTCTTCTTCTTCTACTTCTTCTAACAATGGTGGCTCCTGCTCAGGGGTAAACTCGACAATATGCAATTTCAAAACCCCAAATAAGTCGAATTTTTCGGTATTGGGATCTTTATCTGGAAGCACAAGGCCATTTGCAATCGATTCATCTAATCTGAGCTCACGGGTACATGTTATAGTCACCAAATCACCATCATCATCTTTGTATTTTATCAAAACAGACTTAGAAAATGGAAACCTTTTGCTCACAATCTCTCTCAAAACTTTAAAGTTACAGTTCACTGGCATTTGGGTCGTTCCGGAAGGTTTGGGCATCTTGGGTTGGCTATGAATTTGATAACCTTTGAAGACAGATTTAACCTGTAAGTCTTGCACCTGATAATATTAATTAGCATTACCAGATTTACCCCCTATCTTTCTAACTCTGTGGTTTCATGGCTATTTCATGGCTATATCAGTGAATGTACAATTCACGGTTTCTTTCAATTAAATTTGTTACCAAATAAATACGCAAAAAAACAAATTTAATATAAAAACCGTATTAACCTGTTGTTACCACATGTAGAAATTTGTTGTAAATTTAACCAACCACACTTTAAATCAATTTTCAAATCGTACAAGATGCATTTTATGGTGGAGGTATTACATGGGAAGAAGGTATACATTTTTAGTTGTATAGAAAGTAAGTAATGAATAAAAGTCACTCATAAACCTTATTATTACTTAGGTAACATATTGTACTTTGATTTCTTAATATGTGAATCTAATGGTTGCATGATTCAAATTTGCAGGTCTTGTTGATGTGTATAGTGTCAATCAAAGTAGCTTGGATGTTGTGAAGGTGGTGAGCAAGTTCTTGTTGTTCTACTACTAGTGAGTAAACTTTCTTTTCTCTCTTAATGACCTTTTTGTCTTCTCAAATTACCACAATATCTATCCCTAGGACATTGTCAATTCCAGAGAGGTAACTTATATTTTATATTGGAAACTTGAATCATATTCTTCTTTCTTACATAAATTCTTACATAAATTTTGTCTAGTACTGGCTCCAAGCTAAAAGAAGAATATGTATTAGTGAAGCATTTACCAAAAATCTCAAACAGAGATGATGAAAGAAAATACTCCGCTTGTTTTTGGTTGAATTGCTGCAATGACAATTGGCAAAAGGTATTTTACTATTTCACTATTTCATATTAACTTTTGTAATCTACATGTGTATTAAATTTTAATATTTTATATAGGTATGGGCTGTATTGAAGCCTGGATTCTTGGCAAAAGGTATTTTACTACATGTGTATTTAATTTAATATTTTATAACATAGATTAATGATGCTTGAAGCCTTTCTGAATACTAATGTGTTGATGATGAAAACAGGTATCATGCGGAAACAGAAGCATAACAATAAGAAGTAGAAACAAGAAGGTGCCCCGTAATAGCAATGTAGTATTAGGTTATATAGTTAGGAAAAACCTCTTAATAACAATGTACAATCAGATTCCCTTAATACCAATGTATTACAATTTTTTGACATGATGTTATTGGATGAAATTGATTGTTTTGGTATATATTTGTTTCCATATTTTTGTATTATGTGTAAATGAGTATTGTAAAGACGCGTCGTAAATGTATATCGTAAATGATTGCTGAAGTTTATGACACGCAAATGTGTGTCATTTTTATTTATGACAGGGGCTTCCTTGATACGCATTGCGTGTCATAAACGCGCGTCGTAAGGTTACGACACGCAAATGCGTGTCGTCTTCCTTTATGACAGGGCCTTCCTTGATATGCATTGTGTGTCGTATATGAGCGTCGTAAATGCGTGTCGTAAATGCGCGTCGTAAATAGACGACGCGCAAAAGCGTGTCGTCTTTCGTTATGACAGGGCCTTCCTTGACACACATTTGCGCGTCGTCTGAGCGTTTTACGACACGCATTGCGCGTCGTAAAAGGCTGTTTTTCTAGTAGTGATACCCCGACATTTTCATGTTTTCTTCAAATTTTAGAAGGGGAATACAAGTTAATACACCAAAAACTTAACTAAGTTCAAACAACAGCTTTCACCAGAAAAGTTGAGTCCTATTCACGGACTGTTTTGACCATCTTAAACTTAATATCTTTCAAAACAGTTTAATATGCATGTAGTTCAGGTTATACCGTTATAATGACTACTTGCACATCTCCATACGATTTTTCTACAATTTATGGTGATTTTCACAAAACTGCCTATCATTTCAGAAACGAATTTTGACCAGTATGTGAATATGAACAATTTCACACAAGTTAGAGACTTCTGTAAATCTTAATAAAAATTAGGGATAAAGTAGACACATTTTCTAAACTCTCAGAGTTTACGGAATCAGTTTTCGACTTCGTATGATTTTTATGACCTTTCTAAAACAGTGCAGAAAGGTTAAAAACTAGTTAACAGCCTACAACTTTAATAACACTTTGTAACATGTTGAGCAAAGTGTTTATCTTTGATGATTTCATATTTTACATGTGTTTTCTGTTAAATTACATTTAAATAACAGAAATTACTCACTGAATTGTAAGAATCTTTTATCATTACAAACATACAAGATGAAACATAAGAAGTATAGTTATGCTTCGCTAAACATACTATTTACACAGAAAAAGGTTTTACTCTCAATACAAACGGTTTTTCATTTACCACATGATAAATTATAATAGGCATAGTTTATGGATTTTCACATTTCAAACATGCTACACAAAAAGGGGATTTCAATTCCACCATACAAAAGGTTTTACACGCATACTACACGTAAACTCGTTATCGTAAGTTGTGAGACACGTCTTCATTGTACTCTTAGAGTACGGGTTAAAATTCCTGAAATAGTCATAACCAGAGTCTCTTGTAGGGAGAGCGTGATAATTGTGTATAGATCTATATTGGGGTTGACAACCCACACCCATGCTGCTTGCAAAAGCCCGATCGGCCGATCGGGGGTGACAAATGTCATTTCAATTCTGACGCCTGAAGAACGTCGCAGCAGGAATCTCTGTTATAGTATGGTTATAGCGACTCACATAGGGAGATAACGACACATATAGTTTATGGGAATTTCTACTTTAAAAAGGGGGTTTTACCTATTTTTGAAATTGCTTACAAACACGTTACAAGTACAAAACACACATACATTCAGTCTTTGGGATTTAAGACTACATAACTCTTTATAAGGAAAATATTGGGATTTCTTGGGTATACATTACAATTACAAACACGTTACAAGTACAAAACACACATACATTTAGTCTTGGGATTTAAGACTACATAACTCTTTATAAGGAAAAGATTGGATTTTCTTAAGTATACATTACATTTACAAACAAAGGTTTTCAAACTCGGGATACAATACTCGGTTTTATTTCAAATAATAAAACTACTATACGTACTGGTAGAACCAGGGTTTTCAAATTCTACATCCAAAAGCTTATGAACTCAACAACTTAATTGTTGACACTTTTTCAAAACTACTTGTATTCTCAGGAAATCAGTAAAACAGGTAAACCGCAGCTTTTGAGGATGGAACGCTACGGCGTCAAACAGTTCATTTTGTCATCATAGTGTAATTGATTTTGAAATATGTAAACTCATACTACGGTGTAACTTTCTCAATTATATTATGATGGTTTTATTTGCTTTGGTCACTATTATACTCGTTGTTATGATACTATACATGAAGTCCGCCACCCCAGGACGTTTCCGCCATCCTTGGTTTGGGGGTGTGACAGACACCCCAAATTCCAAGCCTAAGGCCTCCCACGACAATAAGGGAGTACTACCCAAGAAACGAAAGTTCTGGAACAAGAAAAAGGGTCGTCCGACTCATTGACCTGCCAAAAGACAACAAACTGTGGCAACCCATACCACCACTGTTGTCCCTACTGCCTCAGTACCAACGAAACCATACGTTGGGAACCTGCCTAAGTGCAGCAAGTGTAACTTCCATCATTTTGGGATCTGCCGAGAGATGCACTGCAAGAATTGCAATAGAAAAGGGCATACCGCTCGCTTTTGTAGGGTGCCAACTCAACAGACCACCCAATCCACCAATGTTGGACTGGGTCAGGCTTGTTATAGATGTGGCATTTCAAGAGGGAGTGCCCAAAAGCCAATAACAGCAACGTTGGAGGCATGTGAAGAGCTTTAACAACGGGACCTGAGGAAGCGACAAGGAACCCCACTGTGATTACTGGTACGTTTCTCCTCAAATAACTCATATGCATGCATACCTTACAATAGGGGTGCGGAGAGGAGACTCGTGAGTCACAAGGTATAGATACATACTCAAACAAAAACCCTAAACATACACAAAATATTCCCGGTAGTAATAGCTAGGGGGGGGAACTGAAACCACCAACAACACATACCCCGGATGCACTCTAACTCTAAGCAAACATTTCATCTAAATCGACCTAATACCAGCAACAATAGGAAATTTCGACGTAATCATTAGCATGTTTCAGTCAAGCCCTCACCATACCAATACCATGTGTTACGAAAAGGTCATTCCACTTAACTTACAAAATAACGAAACCCTTGTCACCCATGACGAAAAACCTGACACAAACCTCCGAATCGTCCCTTACGTCAACACTCAGAAATACCTAGACAAGTAGTACCACACTCTACCTTAGGGCACGATAGGAATATGAATCAGGAAGTGAAGGACTGATACCCCCTACCCCGAATCGACGACATGTTCAACCAACTTCAATTAATGAGCTATTTCACAGAAAGCTGGTCCAAGATCGGGATACCATCAGCTCAAAGTTCTAGAGAAAGAGGTTCCCGAGACAACTCAAGACTCGTGAGGTCAACTACACCACACACAACCTC